ATGCCTTCTCATAGGCTGCAGGGACACCCTTCTCCAGGGTGGAGTCCTTGAGGCAGGACTCCTGAAGAAGTGGGAGTTTGTCAGTTGAAGGGGAGGAAAGGTCTGTGCTTCTGGTAGAGGCCTATAGGGGAAAGTGACCAGGAGTGGCGGGTAGTGAGGCATTGTGTGCTGGGTGCCGAGGAAGAGGCAGAGCATCAAGCTGGACAGAGAGGTGGAGGGGAAGCCAGACTGGGAGAGTCTTGGGGACCAAAGGCTGCTGTGTTGAGGCTTTTATGGGGCTGAGTCATGCATCTCTTGGTTCACTTGCTAAAGATGCTTTGTGCTGGGATGGGCGTGCACACCTTCAATCTCAGCACTTGGGAAGCAGAGCAGGTGGATATCTGAGTTTGCGGTCAGTTTGGGCTACATGGGGGAGTTTCAGGCCAGCCGGGAATATACAGAAAAACTCCAGCTCAAAAAACAAAACAGCAACCCCCCCACTCCGTGTGTCAAAAACTGTGAGATCAGCAATCATTAAGTGAATTAAAATGCCACTGCATGCAATTGTATGCTTTTAAGCAGTAAAAGCCCTGAGTTTGGTGGTGGTGGGGTGACATTGCAGTCACAGGGCTGGGGAAGAGGATAGATGAGATTTTTTTCCCCATTTGTTCCCCTGCCTCATCTGGAGCTTGTGACACCCTTTGAAGCCTAGCTCCATCTCTGCATCCATTGGAACATATACTAACCCTCCACCCACTCACACTCCACCCCAAGAAGAAGAAGATTATAAATATGATAAATATATAAATGTGGAAATTTCCTGTAATCCCATCTACTGTCTCTTAGCTATAACCTCTGCCAACATTTCAGGGCATAACCTTCTAGACTTTTTCCTATGCATATTTATTCATACATTACAAAAATGAGATCACATCAGGCATCCTGTTTGTTACCTATTTCTTCCACCCAGCCATATATTGCGAGCATCAGCACATATAGACACATATCATTGTTTTAAGCTATGTGCTGTATTTCATTGTGGGCCGTGACCATACCCTCATTTGCTGAACTAATCCTTTCTCGATGGACAGTTAGTTTTCCAATTGTTTGCCATCATAAGCAGTGATGTGATAAATTCCTGTATACATATCTCTGCATACTTGAGGGATAAATTTCTAGAAATGGGATTGTTAAATGAAAGATGATACACTTTCCGAAGGCCTTTGATGCAAGGAATAAAGAGCTTTTTCATCAGTGAGGTAGGAGAAGGACCATTTACCACTCCCCTATGTAGTAATAATTGTTCTCTGTGTTTGATAACCTAATTGGTGAAAAATAATTTATTGTTCTTTTTTCTTTCTGTGGTTATAGCTAGGGTTTTGTCATATGTTAGTTGGCTCCTCATGTTGTTTCCTTAATGAGTTATTTCTTCATTTCCTTGACTTGTTTTTTCTTAAACGTCTTACATCAATACTAAGCTCCACACATTAGGGCTGGAGATACAACTCAGTTGACAGAGTGCTTGCCCAGCATGCTCAGGGCTCTCCGTTCGAGCTCAGCTGCACTGGGCAGGTGGAGACAAGAAACCTTCAGTTAAGGGCTACAGAGTGAGTTTGAGGCTAACTTGTCTCAAACAAAACAATAGTTTGGGAATAATATTCTTAATTTTTCTATTTGCTATGCTACTGATATGTTTAGTATTTTTCTAAGTTTGTTGAGCTTTGTGGCTTATCCTGCCATATTTACTTTTTTGTTTGTTTTCTGAGACAGGGTCTCTCTGTGTAACCCTGGCTGTCCTAGAACTCTCTCTGTAGATCAGGTTGACCTCAAATCCAGAGACCTTCTTGCCTCTGCCTCCCCAGTGCTAGTATTAAAGGTGTGTGCCACCATCCTGACCACCACCTGCAGTACTGATGTTTAAACACATCACCATGCTTTTCCTTCTCTTCTCTTAGATTTCTGCTCATGTTTGTGGTGCATAAAGTGGTCTTCTGGAACTATTGGAAGACGTCAGCCACCAACCCCAGGCTTCCGCACCCAGCTGCCAGTTCATTCTTGCTTGGAAGTTAAACTCACGTTTCACATTTGCCATGGCTTTTCCTGATCTTGATTCCTTCCTCAGTGTACCCCCCCCCCGCCTCCACTGCTGTGGTTTCCTTTCCTCACATCTTGTAACTAACCTATCAGCAATCATGTTATCTACTTTCAAACTGTATCTAGAAGCTCACCTCCTCTACCTCCCTCCCACTCAGATAACTCGGATAACACTTGGGACTCTGTAGCAATTGTCTGGCTTTTCTTCTTGTCCCTTCAGTCTGTTCTGCATACAGTAACACACTGAGGTAGAGGGATTTTCGTTTGCTTGGTTTTGAGACAGGGTCTCACTATTTAGCCCTGGCTGGCTTGGGACTCACAGAGCTCTGCTTGTCTCTGCTTCCTGAGTGTTGGTATTAAAGGCATATGCTACTATGCCTTAGCCTACAATGAACTTTAAATAAATAAGTTAAACAAACAAACAAAACCAAAAAGCAACCTCCTAGGGCTGGTGGGATGGCTCACTGGGTAAAGGTGCTTGCCACCAAGTCTGGCAGTCTGAGTTTGATCTCAGATCTCAGATGGTAGAAGGAAAGATTGACTCACATATTGTTCTCGCTCTCTCTCTCTCTCTCTCTCTCTCTCTCTCTCTCTCTCTCTCTCTCTCTCTCTCTCACACACACACACACACACACACACCTAAAAGTGAACACAGAGTAAATAAATAAAAATATAATAAACTTTAAGAAATTATGGCGCCAGGCAGTGGTAGCACACACCTTTAGTCCTGACAGTTGGGAGGCAGAGGTAGATTTCTGTAAGTTTGAGGTCAGCCTGGTTTACAAAGCAAGTTCCAGGACAGCCAGGACTGTTACACAGAAAAATCCTGCCTTGAACCTTCCTGACCCTCCAAACAAAGAAAGAAATCATGGAGACTGGGATAACGCCTCCATAAAGAACTTGTTATGCAAACATGGATCCCTGGGCTTGCTGGCCACTCAGCCTTGCAGAGTTGGCGATATGCAGTCCATCACTGTCTCAAAAAAAGTGATGTTTCTTGAGGGATAACACCTGAGATTTATTTCTAGCTTTTATATGCATGTTCACATTTGTACATACATGTGTACACACACACACTCCTAATCCAAATCCCCATGCACAAATGTGCATATACACGCACACACATACACACACAGAGACAGAGACAGAGAGAGAGAGAGAGAGAGAGAGGAGAGAGAGAGAGAGAGATTGAGTTTTTTACCGCCACACTGGGGACTGAATTGAAGGCATTAGGAACTCATGTTGAGCATGTGCTCTACCAATGAACTGTATGTCCAGTCCTTTTTATATTTTTATTTCAAGACAAGGTTTCACTAAGTTCCCCGGGCTGACCTTGGACTCATGAGCTCAGGCCTGAGTGTCTAGATAGCTGAGATATCAGGCCCGTGATGTTAGACCTAGTGCTTTTACAGATATTTTTATTTTATCTTTGTTTTCCTGAAATGTGAATTCCATGAATCTTGGGGCTTTGGTTCTTGGTAGGTGGGCATTTAACAAGTAGTTGTTAAATACATGTACAATGCTTGTGGTATAATGTCTGTGTATGGATGAATGTGCTGTGTGAATAGACACCTATGTAAATGTTTGTGTGTGGGACTTGGAATGGTGACATTGAATTCTGTGTAGGTTAGATGGCTTCTGTGAATGCTTTGCCAAGAATGTCTTTGTATTAATGCCTGTGTGGTCTGTCTGTGACTGTATGTGTATGCCTGTTGTGGATGTTTGGTTGTGTATACATATGTCTGGTTTAGTAAGAATGGGGACCTGAGATGGCTGGACCTGTTCCCCTAGGAAAAGAACCTGCATTGCCTTCCCTTCCTACCTCCTGTATCCAGGCAATAAATACACCTTTGTGTCTTTGAGTGGCTACAAACATGGAGTCACTTTCCAAAACTAACATTTCAAGCTGATGCAGGGTGGGTGCTGTCAGATAAAGACTGCACAGTCCAGGTGACCTCAGTAACGTGTAACAGGGCAGGCCTTGGATTGGCTGTATGCCTTAGCATGGCATTCCTCTTTTCCTAAGCCTGCAAATGGGGTTTGTGGTTCTTGGCTGACTTGCTTTTTGGAGATTTGTGAGAATAAAAGAGGTAATGGCAGTGAATGTGTAACAGTAAGAGCAATAGTTTTACGTCTGTGAAGCATATTAGAGTTTTAAATTATTCTCTAACCAGAGCAAATGCCTCAATGGGGAATCCAGCTCTGGACTTTGCTCCAGGGAAATGCAGTGGTGTTGGTTTCATAGATGCATGTGCGAGTGAGTCAGTGGATGTGCACAGGAATAAGTGTCTGGGGAATTCAACGAATAGAGGGTTATATAATGCAGCAAATGGATTGGGCAGTTGCAAAGACTAGCTTGTTTGTTTTATTTTGAGTCAGGATCTCATGTAGTCTGGGCTAGCCTAGAACTAGCTCTGGATAGCTGAGGATAACCTTGAACTCCTGATCTCCCAGTCTCCATACCCAAGTTGTGTTATTTTAAAAACGGGCCCCATGCTTAGTTAGTAATAACACTTTTGAGCACATAGTGTCCCAGGCCATATTGTAAATGCTTCTTAGTCCTTAGGAACCCCAGGAGGTTAGTCCTGCTGTTTGTGCCCTTCTCTGGATACAGAAACTGAGAGTCAGAGAAATTAGGTGAATTGTCCAAAGTTTCAATGCTCTGAAGGGCCAAAGTTGTGATTCTAGTCCAAGCCATCTAACTGTGCATCCCAGGTCCTGCAGAGTCCTGGATGGGTGGGTGAATGGAGGAGGAGTCCCAGGGGCACTCTGTGGGCAAGGCAAGGTCACCTGATCTGGTGTAGAAGTTCTCAGGATGAAGTGAGCATTGAGGTTCTGGGCTGGGATCGATGTCTCTCCCAGGATAGAATTCAACAGCTGCTCCTCATGATCCTTCTTTCTCTTTCTATCTGCAGGCGGATGCCGCCATGCAGCACTACGGGGTGAATGGCTACTCCCTACATGCTATGAATTCACTCAGCGCCATGTACAACCTGCACCAGCAGGCAGCCCAGCAGGCTCAGCATGCCCCGGACTACCGGCCATCAGTGCATGCGCTTACACTGGCTGAGCGCCTCGCTGGTAAGGGCCCTGGGGACCTGGTCATGGGGACAAGATGCTGGGAAATGAAAAAGGAGGCTATCGAAGGCAAAGAGGGGAGGGGGGTGTGAGCAGCTTACTGTAGGTATCTTAGAAAGCCTTAGGCCACTTAGTAACATAGATGACAAGTCAAAATCTGTGCTGTGCTGGCTTTGGCAGCACATTTATACAACATCTGTCCAGGTACCTGTGGAATACTGCTCCCTTGCTAGCACTGTGCAGGGTCCTGGCGCTGCCTCAGCCTTCAGTTCTCTATAACAAACCTGCACAGAAAGATGTTCATTTGCCCTGTCTCGTAGATGCAGAGATTGAGGCAGCAGGTACAGGACCAGCTTAGGGAACTCTCACTGGGCAGTAGCTGGAAGAGGGCTGGAATGCCTCAGGAGGAGACTGAACATGGAGAGATACAAGAGATGACAGCTCTCATGACTTGAATACTGGTTAAATGCCAGTCCACTGTGTGGGTCTTGCCTCCCCCTCCTCCTCCTTTTCTCTTGCTCTGTCTTCAAGTCCCACGAAGAAGGCTACTACTTCATTTTATAGGCAAAACAAAACAAAAATTGAAGTTCAGAGAGAATATGTATTGGAGAGATTGGGGTCAGAACATGACAGATTGGCTAAAACTGTGGGGTCAGACTTGTGGTTAGTTGTCTATCCATTCTCCTCTCTTCTCTGAACTCAAGTTTCATCTAGGATAGTGGGGTCAGACTTGTGGTTAGTTGTCTGTCCATTCTCCTCTCTCCTCTGAACCAAAGTTTCATCTAGATGATGGTAGTGCCAGGAAAGCTGGCAGACTGTGTGAGGTGAGTCAGCAAAGCCTGGCTGTGTTTACAGTCAATAGAACTCAATGCCCAAAGCAAGTCCCAAGCATCCAAGAGAGAGCCGTAGCCCAGTCCTCTGACTTCTGGTTGTTTTCCTGATTATCTCTCCGCTGGTTTCAGTGCCAGTGTTCCCGTGGCTGCGATGAAATATCAGAGAGAAACAATTTAAAAGGAGGACAGCCTTGTTTTGGGATCTTACAAGTCTTGGGCCATGGTTGACTGGCTCCATTTGCTGTGGGATCGTATCAAGGCATCATGCCCGAGAGCGCATGATACCATGTTCACCTCGTGGAAGACAGAAAGCAGAGAGGGGAGAATAGGGGTCAAGGATAAGATAAACCCTTCAAAGACATGCCCCCAGAGGCCCACTTCCTGTACCTTAGCCTCATCTCTTAGCAGTCCATTCAGCCATGAATTCATCAATGGATCAACCCATTGATAAGGTTAGCAGTTTCATGATCAAATCACCTTTTACTAATGCCAACAGCTGAGGACAAAGTGTTTAAAATGTGAGTCTTCAGGCCATTTTGTATTCAAATAATAGCATGGGTATGAGAAGGGAGTTATAACACAGATGGCAGGCTAGATTTCCTGGGACATGATGTCACCTAGTCCATGATGTTCCAGTCCAAGCCCATCCTGTTGCATATGGGCCTGTATGCATGCCAGATAGTTATAAAGGACTTCACAGAACTCTTTGGGAGACCGAGTGCCCACAGATCATGAGAGGGCAAGGTGACCAGAGCCAGTGGTGGACAGCTCAGGGCAGATGATGGGCTGGTGAAGAAAGGAAAGCTTGCAGCAGGCCGGGAGGCAGATGCCTTTTAAAGGCATCTGCAGAGGGGAAAGCGTTGGCAGAAGACAAGGCATGGGAATGGGAGAGGGTCTGAGAACTGTGCCTGACTTGGGGTACCAGCCCGGCAGGGAGGTTTTGGCAGCCGGTTCTTCTCCTTTACACCTTGCCAGGCCTCTGAGAAACTGAGTCCCTGGTCACTCAGTGTGGACATTAGTGTCCAGTGTGGTAGTGGTCAGTGCAGACCTGCCCCAGCTATGGCTACTTCCCTAGTTTGGAATGAATTCTCCTTGCCCAATGTGATAGTGACATCTACCTCAAGGACTATAGCACAGAGAGGATTCAGGACAGGGGCTCATGCCCAATGACAGGAACAGAGGAACTGGGTGTTTAGCCCACTTTCAAATTGCCAAAATGAAGGAGGCAATGAGCCCTATGAGGACATTGCTATGGAAATCTTACCTCCCATGGCAGGTGCTGCGCCAGGGAGCTGGTCTCCCCTTGGCTACCACACTCCCTGTATCCTTTGGAGCTAGCAGTAGGATGCTGAGCTGCTGTCTCTCCACCAGAATGAATGGATGTGACTAAGTGGTCCCTACCCCTTCTCCTGTCTAAGGGTAACACCCATAACCTCAGGTCTGTCTGAGTTAGGGTTGGGACAAGTTATAAAACACCCTTCCTTTAGTTGAGGGAATATCCAAAGTCTAAGGTTTGCTATACATTTCCCATTAGGGTTTTGTAGAAAACTTTCCAACCCCGGGGTACAAGGGGATGGGTCTGAGGTACTGTTCAGAGGCAAAACCAACTTGAGTTTCCTCCAGCATCGACAAGGTCCATTTTTGTGTGATTGGAATTTACAGCCCAGGTACCAGTTAGGCAGAAGGGGAAAAGACTAGACACTAGCCTGAGAGAGAGAGACCATCCTGGCTCATTCTCATGTTACCAAACACAAAGGCAAGCCTGTTGAATCAATGAACCATTATCTTTGCCATTCTCCTCCAAGCTTGCAGTGTGGGGATTGGCTCTCTTTCCTTGAAGAAGTAACCAGAGAGGGTCAAGGCTGGGTGTAAGAAGCCTTTCCCATGTGGTGAGGGTCCTGCCAGGGCTAAGCTTTCTGCTTAGAAAATAAGACCAGGAACCTCATGTATTTCCACCAGAGACATATAGACCGAGGGAGAGAATGAGAGTTAATGTGAAAGGGAGGATCAGTATGCCCAGTGAGAATTCCCCTAAGCAATCCTGAAGATCAGCACCAGCTGGCAAGCTGGTGTCTCATTGCTAAGGGCCAGTATTCTGGTGCTAGGAAATCTTAATAGAATCTAAGGCCTATGTCATTGAGACATGGTGTCTTATATCATTAGCATCATGTCATCTCAGAATATTATAGCATCTTGGGACTTTTCTCTTTTTGAGATATGGTTCTACTATATAGCCCAGGCTAGTCTTGAACCTGCAAGCCTCCTTGTCTCAGCCTCCTGAGTGCTAGGATTGCAAGTATGTGTTTTTATTCTTGGCCTAGTATGTTATGACTTTAAGATCTTGGGGGTACTACCCATCTACACACTCTTAACTCCAGTCAGAGCAGGAGGACACCTCCCACAGCAATCATGTGCCTGACAGCCATGCTTGGAGCTGAGTTAGTCCTCTGCAGTTCTGAGAATGGAGGAAAGACTATCAATACCTGCCGGTGGAAAGAGGATGGGTGATTTCCAAAGTCCAGGGGCCAGCTCTGATGCCTGTTTGAGTGTCCAAAGTGGGTTAGAGCATGATCAGATTCAAAACTTATTTCCCATAATTAAATGGGCCCCCTCTGCTTGCCCTCCAACGGCTGTACATTTCAAGACATCATCTTGGAGGCCCGCTATGGCTCCCAGCACCGCAAACAACGTCGTAGTCGCACGGCATTCACAGCCCAGCAGCTTGAGGCCCTGGAGAAGACCTTCCAGAAGACTCATTACCCAGACGTGGTGATGCGCGAGAGGCTGGCCATGTGTACCAATCTGCCCGAGGCCCGTGTGCAGGTAGGGTCCCTCTCTCCCAGCTGTACCTTGCAGATGAGTGCTAGCCATCTGTCTTTGTCCGGTTGTCTGGGAGCTAGCCTTTGCTTGGGTGGTGCAGAGATACACACCTACTTCCTTCATGCCTATTTGGAAAGGATAGATGGGGTTGGGTGGAGGATTATCACCTACATTTTCTGGACTACCCAGAGTACAGTCTTTCCTCCCGACTGTTCCTCTCTGGCCCCCCCAGGTCTGGTTCAAGAACCGCAGGGCCAAGTTCCGGAAGAAGCAGCGCAGCCTGCAGAAGGAACAGCTCCAGAAGCAGAAGGAGGCCGAGGGCTCCCACGGGGACGGCAAGATGGAGGTCCCAGCCTCAGACACACAGCTGGAGTCAGAACAACCTCCCAGTCTGCCCAGTGGCGACCCTCCTGCTGAGCTCCAGCTGAGCCTGTCGGAGCAATCGGCCAGTGAGTCAGCCCCTGAAGACCAGCCGGACCGTGAGGAGGACTCCCGGGCTGGGGCCGAGGAGCCCAAAGCTGAAAAGAGCCCGGGATCTGAGAGCAAGGTGCTGGGCTGCAAGAGGGGCAGCCCCAAGGCAGGTGAGGCGTGGGTGGGAGGACACCCAGGGTCACCCACAGGTCAGGGAGAACAGCCAAGTCCCCACGATGGGCCTGAGTTTGTGATGTGGAGCAGAGCAGGCTAGTCAGCCTCTGGCACTCAGGGGCATGACCAGTCAGACATGATTGGCTGTAGCAGACCTGTGACCCGTGTCCACCCTTTAGTCGCCGAGTCATTGAAAGGTCTAAATAGATGGTTCCAAGAGAAGGCAGCAGGGAGGCTGAGGAGAGGGCAGGTGAGGGGATGACGAGATCCCCTTCACCATTTAGTGATAATTTCAGCTATTCCAGTATTTTAACAGCTGGTTCAGATGTACCAGTTGTGCTGGGTGAATACCGTACTGGTGCCTGAGATTCTCGAGTACAGCAGAATTCACCTTGATTCAAGCTTCTCTTAGGACTGGCCCACGCTCTCTCACCTCAGGGGTCTAGTTCATTGGGAGCTCTTGTGAAAGGGGCATCTGCTGAGAGGTCTGAAGCAGAGGTTCTCAACCTGTGGGTCACAACCCATTGACAGGTGGTCGGATGACCCTTTCCTAAGGGCCGCTTAAGACCATCAGAAAACACAGGTATTTACAATAGGATTCATAACAGTAGCAAAATTACAGTAATGAAGTAGCAACAAAATTAATTTAAGGTTGGTGGTCACCACAACATGAGGAACTGTATTAAAGGGTCACAGCTTTAGGAAGGTTGACAACCTCTAGTCTAGAGGATGCTCTTTTTTTCCTTTTTTTTTTTTTTTTTTTTTTGGATAGGGTCTTGCTATGTAGCTCCAGCTGACCTGGAACTTCCTATGTAGACCAGGCTGGCCTTGAACTCATAGACATCTACATGCCTCTGCCTCCCGTGTGCTGGGATTAAAGTTGTACACCACCACTCTTGGCTGGGGATGGTTTGTTTTAGGGCTAGGCATATTCATTGCTTTTCCACAAAGCTACTCTGGGTTGGAGCCTCCGCCTAGCCATGATTAAGAAGGAGCAAGGCTCTGGCAGGAGGTGTATTCAGACACAAACCTAAGCTAGGCAAGGAGGTCCAGGGACTGTGAGCTGAGGGACAGCGGGAGGAGACGACACTCCTGGGTATTCCTTGAATAGATTAAGGGACTCCCCAGGAACTCAGGCATGGGTGGCCAGGCAGGAACCCCAGAGCTTCACTAAGTCCACTTAATTCTAAGGGTCACTATGGGGGACGCTCTGGCTGATATGGGTGCCATGATGGTGTCAGCCAGAGTCTATCTATGTTCACTGCAGGACCACGGGGATGGGAAGCCGAGGGACCCTCTCTTCCAAGGTCAGTCCTCTTGTTCTGAGTACTTGGCTCTTGTTCTCTGCTTGCAGATTCCCCAGGCAGCCTGCCCATAACTCCTGCAGCGCCAGCGGGAGGCCTCCTCGGCCCCACCCATTCCTACTCCTCGTCCCCGCTCAGCCTCTTCCGTCTACAGGAGCAGTTTCGCCAGCACATGGCCGCCACCAACAACCTGGTGCACTACTCGTCTTTTGAAGTGGGAGGCCCGGCGCCTGCTGCGGCTGCAGCTGCGGCGGCTGCTGCAGTGCCCTACCTGGGTGTCAACATGGCCCCACTGAGCTCGCTGCACTGCCAGTCCTACTACCAATCCCTGTCAGCGGCTGCTGCTGCCCACCAGGGTGTGTGGGGGTCCCCATTGCTGCCGGCGCCCCCTACAGGCCTGGCCCCTGCCTCAGCTGCCCTGAACAGTAAAACCACGAGCATCGAAAACCTTCGCCTCCGGGCCAAGCAGCACGCAGCCTCCCTGGGACTAGATACACTTCCCAACTGACTGTCTGGCTTCCAACCCAACCATGGTCTTGTGTGTTCCCCTGTCTCAGTCCCATGGTTGTTCCCAAAAGGCTCTCCAAGAATAATCTTGAGAGCTCAGGGATGCTGGGGCCTGGGGTCCTCTCACCCGGTGTCCCTTCTTCAGAGTCCTAACCCCAGGTGAAACCTACACACCCTGTGCATGTCCCTGCTTGGACCCGTGGAGGTCAAATAGGGAGGAGGTGAGCAAGTGGCTAGATCCCCCTCCTCCGTATCGCCTCCTCCCTCCTGGCCCTCCCCACTAGTAAGTTGATATGTGGAATGTGAGATATAAATATAAATATATAAAACTATATTTTCAGGCATTGCCTGCCCCAGGCCCCTTTCCCTGTGCCCATCACATTACCACTGCTACCCTTGCCTCTGAAATTCACTCCAGAGTGCTCTCCCTCTCTCTCCCCCCCCTCCCCACTCTCCCTCGATCTTTCTTCTCTTGCCCCCGCCTACCTGGATCTACCCGCTATGCCTTCCCTCCGCCTCTGGTTTCTTCCTTTGGTGCTGGCTGTGTTAGTGTCCTGTACTCTCAAATAGTGTTTTGTTTGGGGTTGTGGTTTTTTGGTTCTAGTAATTTTGTTTCTTTCTGTTTCTCTTCTGCCCTGCCTGCCTATCCCCCGCCCCCACATTAACCTGAACCCTCTGTTCTACTCTATGCCCGGAGTTTCAACGAAGTCCTACTCTGAGACCCTGGAGCAACAGGCAGGAGGTAGCCTTAGCCCTACAGCATTTCCCAGATATTAGGAAGGGCTCAGGTTACCTTTTCTTCTCTTACTTCTTACCTTGGAAGTACCAGCTCCCCAGACTGCAGAGGGGCATGTGTGAGCATTGGCCAGGCTGGCAGCAGAACAGCTGGCATCATTGCAGGGCTCTGGAATTCCTTATCAGTGAGTGAAACCCTATGGCTACACATGGTCTCAAGATTTGTTGGCTTCCTGTCCTAGCCTGGCTGTGGGAGAAGCAGCATGGTAGGGGTATCACTGGCACAGTTAGGGGTGTTCTTGCATGTCTAGAAAACCTTGCTCTGCAGAGACCCTTTCAGGGTGGTGTGACCTTGGGCAAGCCCAGTGCCTTCTGGGACGCTTTTGTCTGGATAAGATGACTTACAAGATTCTGTCCATTTCCAAGCAACTCAGCATTCTGTGCACACAGCCTTGGAGGGCAGGGTCTTTTTATTTAATTTTAACAACATGACCCAACACAGACACTTAGAGAAGCCTGGTGTGTAATTTAGAACATTTCTGTTGTTTTCCTGAGGAACAATAGATCCTGCATACATGAAGCTCTCTGTGGATACTGCCTCAGTTTCCCTGTAAGCGTAATGGCTCCTTTCTAGGTTAGATAATCCGGATTTGATCCTATTTTCCTTGGATTCCAGGGCTATCCTTGGGGGCTATTCCTTTTCCATGCCCGTGGTGGGGTGGGCAAGATGACTTACATAGATTTGACTCATCACTGAGCCCTCAGTCCCACATTTAGAGAGAGGGTGGCCTGGCTGGCATGACTGGCCTACAGAGTCAGCAGCGCCCACCTTAAGGTCAGTCTAGACTGGGGAAGGCTTCGGCCAGTAGGAAGTGGGAAGGTCGGTAACCTGAGCTGGGAAAGGCATGAGAGCAAATAGGAGAGGTGAGTATGTGGGGCCCGCTGAGCAGGAGGGGCCTGGCCTCATGACAGGTGGGGTGGAAAGGCCAAGGACCCAGCCTGATATCCACCTCCACGCAGCAAGCACCAAAGGCAGGCAGTAGAGGGTTTCTGAACAAGGGGTATCTCCCTGGCATCTGGAGTCTTGCAGTCCAAAGGCGTAGGACCATCAGAGAAGGAGAGACTTGGCTAAGGAGACGGAAGGAGTTCTGGGCTGAGGAGGGTTCAGTGGTTCATGGCTGATGGATTGTGGTTAGCTTCAGGACGTCATGTTTCTGAACCATCTCATCTGGGGCCAGGCACAGGGCTGAAACTAGTTTGTCTATTCCTGGAAGCAAGTGACTGTCACTGGGACTTTTCTAGGCATTACAAATTCCCCCAGAAGGAACGAGGCCACCTGGAGTTGTACCCTGTCATGGCAGAGTCGGGGCTACCTAGGCTTTCCAGATCTCTCTTGGGTTTTTGTCAGCAGTTCTCCCACTCCGCTGACACAAACCATCCCAGGCCTGCTGGTCCCTCAGGGCAGAGAGCCTGAGTATCAAACCCTCGACAAGCCCTTCTACAGAAGTCTTGTACCTCTCTGCTCCTTGAGGTCTCCCTTGTCCTGTTTCCTCACTCCCCTAGAGCATGGTCCCAGGGGTTTGGGTCCCCACCTCTATGCAGAGGCTGATGAGCAATATAGACTGCTTTCCAAACAAGCTTTTGTGACCATTTGTGCTTAGAGGTTGTACCAGCCCGTGGCAAAAACACCGTGTATTGTATTTATTTATTCTGTTAGTTGAAGAAACAAAACTCAAACCACTCTCTTTCCCTTTTCCTGCCCCTGCGTAGCACAGCATGATGCTCTGTCCTGTGTATCTGTCTGTCTTTTGGTCTTACTTCCTGTGACTTTGTGACCTGTTCTTTGTCCTAATTGGCTAATAAAAGAGAACCTGGCAGCACAGCCCTTGACCCATATTCATTCCCAGAGATACCTACAGTGGGCAGAGTGGCGTTTCAGAATCTCCCTGTGACTGGAGAGACACAATGCATGGCTGCCCCGTGACAGGTGGTTTTTCTGCTGGTTTTGCAACAATCTCTGTCATCCTTATTTGTTTGTAGCTCGTGTGTCACTTTGGAGAAGCCATTGGGAGCAGGGAGTATGGTACAGCTCTCCCTTCTCTGACCTTTTTGGGGGCTCACCCAAGGAAAGGTGGCAGGGCAGTCTGGGGCAGGGGACATCTGCTGACATTTGAAGTAGCGTTGGGGGTGGTTCTGCAGGGTAGAGAGACCAGGACAATATGTGAAGTCTCCAGCAAAGCCAGAGCCAAAGCTGAATACCAGGAAAGCACATTTGAATTTTTAGGTGTGGTGGTACACACCTGTAATCCCAGCACTTGATAGATGGAGGCAGGAGGATTCTGAGTTCAAGGCCAGCTATACAGCTATACTTGAAACCTGGTCTAAAAAAAATAGACTTTGGGTCTGGTTAATTTTGGTGTGTGATGTTTTTATTTATTTGCAAAAGTTTTTGTTTTAATAATAAAGTTAATAAAATAAAAAAAGCCAGAGCTGTTCTCCAGTGGGCCTTGGAGTGGAGTGAGTTCTTTATCATCAAAGGTAAGCAAGAGGCATGCAGGGCATGCAAAAGATGGAGAGAGTGTTGCTGCAGTGCTAAGGTCACACACACAGGCACACATTTGGAAGTCCATGTAGAAGGATGAGGATCTGTGTGCCTCAAGCTCAAGGCACCGCTGTGCTTCAAAATGAGAAGGAAATAGTGACAGCCAGGGGAAAGGATATATAAGTAATAATTGCAGAAAAAGTACACAATTTAGAAGTTTGTGTTGTGAAATCTTGCTTTCTCCTACTTCAAGAAAAAGAAAACCAGGTTATGGTGGTGGGACATGCCTTTAATCCAAGCACTCTAGAGGCAGAAGAAGCAGACCTCTATTTGTTTGAGGCCAGCCTGGTCTATTGAGTGAGCACCAAGACAGCCAGGACCACAGAGAGACCCTGTCTCAAAAACAGTAACAAAAGAGAATTAGAGATATCTGCCCTTTGGCCATACTAGCCCTACCTTCCTTTTCTGAGTTCCAGAGTGTCTGTCCAGGACTGTTTACCAAGAGTTGGGCTGCATGGAGCTTGGGACTGGGCACTGAGAGCTCCCTCTGTCAGGCCTTGGTAGGAGAAACTCAGCAGGCCTGAAGAGTATGCAACAGGGCTATCTACTGGATTTTCCAGGATGAGTCCTGACCTCCCTACTTCCCAGGTCACTGTGACCCCAGGATCTGCATTCCTCTCCCAAGTGGGGCTGAGGATTAGGGTGGGGAGCATCCCCCCTTCACCTCCTTGACAGATCAAATGTCCCACAGCTCCCACAGCTCCCACCTGGGCCTTGAGCCACTCAGTGCTGCCTACAAATCTCAGCGCTGAGACACACACCTTCCCTGGCCCAGAGGCTGTCTGGTAGCACTGCAGTTCAAATCCCTCACTCATTCTGTCAGCACTGACTGACTGCCTGCTGTATGCCTAGCCCCATGCTGGATGCTGAGTAAAGAGAAACAAGTTTGAAAAAACAACGTGCCCTGGCAGTCACAGCCTGGGGTGACTCAGAGCTCAAAAAACAAGGGGGTGCAAACAGAAAAGAGAGTCCTTACTTCTGCATGGGGAGGTTGGAAAGATGCTTTAGGAGAGTCATAACCTGAGTCTCATATGTCAGGTGCTTCTTAGGAGTTTAAGAAGGAAGGGTCCGCCGGGCGTTGGTGGAGCATGCCTTTAATCCCAGCACTCGGGAAGCAGAGGCAGATGGATCTCTGTGAGTTCGAGACCAGCCTGGACTACAAGAGCGAGTTCCAGGACAGCCTCCAAAGCCACAGAGAAACCCTGTCTCGTAAAAAAAAAAAAAAAAAAAAAAAAAAAAAAGAAGAAGAAGAAGAAGAAGGAAGGGTCCTGGGAGAGGCACAGTCCATCCAAGATTCAGGACTGGGCCTTGGGCTCAGGAAAAACCATAGTGGCACTGGAGGACAGTGGGGCTGTGTCAATAGATGACGCTAGAAAGGAAAACTGAAAAGCTCCTGGGTATTCTGTGCACTCCTGGGTATGGTGTGCACTCCTGGGTATGGTGTGCACTCCTGGATATGGTGTGCACTCCTGGGTATTCTGTGCACTCCTGGATATGGTGTGCACTCCTGGGTATTCTGTGCACTCCTGGGTATGCTGTGCACTCCTGGGTATTCTGTGCACTCCTGGGTATGGTGTGCACTCTTGGGTATGGTGTGCACTCCTGGGTATGGTGTGCACTCCTGGGTATTCTGTGCACTCCTGGGTATGCTGTGCACTCCTGGGTATTCTGTGCACTCCTGGGTATGCTGTGCACTCCTGGGTATTCTGTGCACTCCTGGGTATGGTGTGCACTCCTGGGTATGGTGTGCACTCCTGGGTATGGTGTGCACTCCTGGGTATTCTGTGCACTCCTGGGTATTCTGTGCACTCCTGGGTATTCTGTGCACTCCTGGGTATTCTGTGCACTCCTGGGTATGGTGTGCCATGCACTCAGAACATGGGAGGATGAGGCCAAAGAGGATCTGAAGTTGTAGGTTGGCCTATGCTACATAGTAGGTTCCAGGCCAGCCTGGGCTACAGTGAGACCCTGTCTCAAAAAAATCGAGAAGGTAGACAACAAAAGGAAACTGAATTTAGAGTCTAGCCCAGGCTAGAGCCTGGGTTTGGAAACTGGGTAAGTGATCAGACTTGTATTTTAGCAATTGCATGTTCCCCACCCTTTGTGCATCGTAGGTCATAACAAGGAGCTAAATGGCACAGGACCAAAGAGGAGGCCACTGCTAGGTCCTGATGAGAGACAGTAGCATCAGTCTGGTGTACAAGAGCCAGGAGGAGAAGGGGTGACTAGTGAGAGATTGAGGTAAAATCACCGTGGTGACAGCAGGATGGGAAGGCCCAAGGGTGCTCCTAGGTCTTTGGCACAGGTACAGGTAAGATGGGTGCCCTTCTCTACGGGAGATGGGATGAATGTTGGCTCTTGAGCTTAGTCTTGTTGACATGTAGGAGGAGCCTTCCACATATTTAAGGGAAGATGGTACTGTGGGATCTGCTGTTGGTACCAACTTGATTCGACGTGTTCTTCATGCAGCCATTTAATCCTGGCACAACACTTTGAGGTAGATTTTATTATTATCCCCATTTGACACATGGAGAAACTGAGGTACAGCGTGACTACGTAGCTTGTCCAGGATCACCAAGCAGCAATGCCCACCTGACGTCAGGGCCCAGCTACCCTTGATATTCATACTCTTAACCTTTGTGATTGTCAACATGGAGATGGCCATGGGAGCCATTTGATTGAGTGAAACGATACAGAGAAGTTTGAGGTCAGGTCCTCCAGGATAGAGTCAGGGCAAGTTCACTTGCTGTTTACTGTGGGCCCTTCTCCAGCCCTCAGCCTTCCTCATCTGTCGAATGGGAACCATTAACCGTGTCTAGCTGGCTTCATAGGAGATGAGGTAAAGAGTAAGAAGGCCTTGGAGGAGACAGAAGCTGTGCAGTGGAGGGCCCTGCCGTAGCATTAATGAGGAGACAGAAGCTGTGCAGTGGAGGGCCCTGCTGTAGCATTAATGAGGAGTGGGCAAGAGGATTTTCCTCCAAGTGTCATCTGCACTTTCCCTTTTTCTTAGGGCTTGGCCCAGGTTCTTTCAGATTAGGAGTCTGGTTCCTCAGCCCAGGTGGAAGGAACACCTGCCAAAGGGGCCTGGAATGGAGTCCTTTAGGGCTGGGGAACCCTTCCCCACCTCTTTCCCACAGGACAGCCCTGGGCGAGAGCCCCCCACCCTAATCTTTCATTCTCCTTTCGCTTCTGGGAAAGCCGATTAGGAGGCGGCCTCCTGCCCGCCCCCCTGACAAGTTTGTCTGAACTTCCAACAAAGGCTCTTAGAGGGCTGAAGAGGGAGGGCTGGGGCACCGGGAACCTGACACCACTGGCCTGGGATCACCCCAGCGGCCTAGCAGGTTGCACTATGGCTCTGCCCACCCTGTGGTGAGCAAGAATGTTGTGGCCCCAGGAAGGCCTGGGGGCTGCAGTGGGGGTGGAGCTCTTCACCTGAGAACTCCTCATAACTAGGGGGCAGTCAGTGCCTAGGCAAGCAGTCAGGGAATGCATTCATTCTCATGCACACTTCCAATCACCACATGCATCCTAAGCTCCCCGCTATGCTGTCTTCCAAGTTGAACCACAACTCTCTGGGTATCTCTCTGTGTCTCACACTCATATATGCATACACTCTCTACAAACATCAGATGCAGCCATCTAGACACTCCGCCCGCACACCTGCTCCACCCCCAGAGATGCCTTCTTCCTGGTTTACTCACATCCAGACAGCCCACTGATTGCTCAGAGGTAGTCGTAAGCCCCCTCTCTAGACAGGCCTATTGAGAAAGAGGCCAGCCGGGGCCCAGTAGTTCCTTCGTGATTGTTGTCCTGTACTTGTGAAGATGGTGTCCCCGAGCCCAACCAGCCCTGTTGCCATTTGTACAGCCACTCCCACACCCATCCAGGGGCTTCTCCTCTTTCGCCTGTTTTATGTTTTGTTTTGTTTTTTGTTGTTTTGTTTCCGCTGCTGTGCTACATATGCGAGCTTCTGGCTGATTCCCTTGTCTTTGTTTTGCCAGAGGAGTGCTGAGATTACAGACCAGAGCCACCGTATCCAGGGATTGAACTCAGGCCTTCGAGCTTGCATGACTTAGCCCCTGAGGTATCTCCTGTCCCCTCCCCTTGTTTTAGACAAGGTCTCACTGCATAGCGGTGGCTGGCCTGGAAATCACCTTGTAGACCATCTAGCCTTGAATTTATGGAGCCCCTCCTGCCTCTGCCTCCCAAGTGCTGGGACTAAGGGTGTGAGACAGCACCCCTGCATCTTCATTTTATAATGACCCCACAGGTTATGTAGTTGCTTCCTCCTCCTGTCTGTCTCAGCTGACTCACTAGGATTTTAGGAGCTCTTGGCTTCTCTCTGTTACCCAGCTCCTCCATTCTCCCTCCTACATTCCCACACCTTACCATACAGGCGAGCGTGATGAGACAGGAACCACTAAGGGCCTGCTATACTCAGAGTCGCTAGGGCTCAGGGTCCTTATCTGTAAAATGGGGTTAATAATAATGGCAACACCAGGGGTTTTGCCAAGGTTATTTCATTTCTAGGAGATAGTCTATGGACCATTTAAGAAGCTTCACAGGGGAGATGCCTCAGCAGTTAAGAGGACCTGGTTTTGACTCCCAGCACCAGCACGATGGCTCACAACTGCCTTTAACTCTGTTTCTGGGGGTGCGTACCCACTTCTGGTTTCTGCAGGCACCAGACACACATGTGGTGCCCAAACATACATGCAGACAAAACCCCCACCAATAAGATGAACATCAATTAAAAAGAAGCTACTGAGTTTCTGTGAATTTGTTTCGCCTGTAAAACGGGGCCTTCTCTCCTGACCCCCTGGCTTGTGAGAACCCAGAGAGCTGATCATGGAAATGAAGGATTAAGCTGCCCGCTGGCCA